CAACACCACTGATGGGTGTTGCTGTTTGGGTTTTGCTAGGTTGTGTTTCTCAGAAGTTTATTGGTTTTGTGTATTTTCTCTTGCTCTGCCAGTGAGGAATTACTCAAACTGGGAGGGACCATAGTTGGGACAGGTGAGCCCAGCTGGCCAGATGGATATTCCACAGCTCAGAGCATCATGCCCAGTGTGTAAACTGGGGGAGTTACCTGCAGGGTTCTGATCTGGGTCAGCAGGTGCTGGGCAGTTCTGTTGTGCATCAGCTGTTTGGTTGGTTTCTTTCATTTATCTTTAAATATAATTGTTATTATTAGCTATTTATTGTATTTTATTTTGTTTTCCATTATTAAGATTTTCTTCTCTCAGCCTACAAATTTTACATCTGATTCTCCTCCCCACACCACCAGGGTGGGGGAGAAGAGAAGGGGCTTGGGCTGCTTTGCAGTGCTTCATTTCCACCTGGGTGTAACCCACGCCCCTGTACTCCAGCCCTTCCCTGCCTCCACTGCCTCCTCTGCCATAACCAGGGTGAGCTGTGGCTTCTTGAGCCTTGTGCCATCTTCAGCAGAAGGATGAGGTCAGGAATCTGGCTTGGTGGGCTTCAGGCAGCTGTTTGGCACCAACCACGTGCATGTTATACACTTGTTCAAATTATTTCAAGGATTAATGCATCCAGTACTTTAAAATGTGTCCTGTAGCTCTCTAGCATATTAAAATGTACTGGTAAATAGCACTTAAATAGCTTCTAATTCATCAAAATAACTTGGGCTGTGTTTCTAGTAATCATGGCAGTGCTGTCTGAGATTATTAAGTGACCTGTATATGTTAAAGCACATTAGCAGTGAGGCTGCTGTACATTTTGGTGTTTAAAGCTGCCATTTTTTACAAGCAATTCTGATGTGGATAAACATTTCACGAAGGTTTAATAATTGGGCCCTAATATACCAGATGGATTTTCTTCTCCCCTCCTGAGAATGCATCACAGTAAAGTGCTGATGGAGTTTTCCAGACATCTAAAAATGAAAGTGTATTTGTTTGAAAAGCTTTAAAGATACCAGGCGTGGAGAGAATATTCTCTCTGTGGAAAAGGAGATTAAAGTCTAGAATAAAACCAGACAGAGTGTTTAAGTTCAGGTTTTTGTGTCACTGTGGGAATACCCTGTGGTAGCCTGAAGGCTGATCAGCTCAGGCTCCATGTGTGTGTGGAGGCCAACTGAGGAGAGATTATTTATAACCACGTTGCTCATTTATTGTACTTAAATAATCTAATGAATAATTAAGAATGAATTATTAAAGCTATTTGCCAAATAGACTATTCTCCATAAAATTTAAATGTATCTTCTTCCTGCATTGCAATATTTATGCTGTGTAAGCACAAATTTTTATAACTGTGTGAGCCATTGGAAGCTCAGCTTGGTAGAAGCTGCTTGAAATGGAGTCATGTTCAAATTTCCCTGGGATGAAAAACTCTCCAGGGTGTTAGGTGGCTCTTGATGGTTCTTTTTCCTTCCAGTCTGGTTCCACACCTGAGTTTGCTGGTTTCCTTTTTATCTGTTGGAAAATTTAACTAGTCTCAAACTGGACGTGTCACAGGCTACAGGAAAATGGAAATCCAACAGTTGACAGAAATATCCAACCCAATAGTTTAGGTTGGAAGGAAACTTAAAGATCCCCTTGTTGCAACCCCTGCCATGGCAGGGACACCTCCCCCTGTCCCAGGTGGATCCAAGCGCCAGTGTCCAACCTGGCCTTGGGCACTGCCAGGGATCCAGGGGAAGCCACAGCAAATCTGAGAATTCCAGCCCAGCCAGGAATTCCTTGCCAAGATCCCAGCCCAATCTCCCCTTTCCCAGTGGGAGCCATTCCCTGGCTCCTGTCCCTGCAGGCCTTGTCCCCAGTCCCTCTCCAGCTCTCCTGGAGCCCCTCCAGGCCCTGCCTGGAGCCATTTGAGATGGGGGAAGCTGCAGAGAGAAGACTTGAGTGAAGAGGGATTTCTGGGATGAAGGATGCTCTTGGTAGGCTGTTATTTTTGGAGAAAAGAGGAGAGGGCAAAGCAAATCCTGTAGTAAATGTTGATTTTGAAAGTCATTTGTAAGCAGGTGGATATTCATGGCAGAGATGTGTGTGAAGCTGTTGAGAGAGCAGGGCAGAGCACAGCTCACCCAGGACTGTGCCAGCCTCAGCTCTCACTCCAAATCATTTCCCAGCACCTCTCTCTGCATGCAGCTGCTTCTTGCTGCTGCTTCCATACCTACAAAGTTGCTTTCCAGAGAAAGTTGGAAAAAAACCTTCCTCAAAGCTAGTGATGCTCACATCAGGTCTTTTAACTTATTTCAGGATGGTTTAGGCTGAGTAAATGCAACAATAGATCTTGACTTTGCTCAACCCCTGGGGCTCTTCCAGCAGGTGATGGACTGCAGTGGGCTCTGCCTTTTATTTCTCCCCGAGTGCTTCCAAGGGATGTTAGTTCAAGGGGGAAAATATATTTCCTTAGCGATTTTATAGCTTTTGTGGGTATTTGCTGCCTCCTTGTGACAATACAAAGATGTATGGTGCTGTTCCTTTGAAATACAATGGTACTGTGGTGAGTGTTTTAGGAGAAGTTTTATTAGTCTTTAATTGTTAATTCCTCTCTGTATTTTCTGAAGAAAGTCTTGGCTGTGGTGCCAGAAATGAGCAGGAAAGAGAAACCAATGAAGGGCTCTGGAACATGCAGACTTGTGCAGTGTTGCATTTTGGAAAGGGGATTTAGTAGTAAAGGTGACCCTCTCAGCTCTCCACTCTTTCTTCTCCAGAAGAGTAACTAATTTGTAAGGAGACATATCTGCAATGCCACCAGAAATGTGGCATGTGGGGACATGGTTTAGTGGTGGCCTTGGCAGTGCTGAGTTAATAATGGTTGGACTTGATGATCTTAGACGTCTTTTCCAACATAGGTTCTGTGATTCTATGAAATTGACCCAAAATAAGAGGTCCAACAGTTTGCATTGCTGAGGTCACTTTTTTCCTAAAAAGGGGTCATCCTTACAGCAGTTCAGCATGTTTTGATGTGTGTCTTCCATTTGCTGTGTGTATTTCTGGAGCTGTCTGATGGATACACGAGACTGGAGCGTGTTGTTATGTAAAGGTGGAGACCTCACTGACTTTGTGGCTGAGGGTGGCACAGTGCAAGTTCATCTGTCTGCCTGACCTGAGAAGCTCCTCCTGAGAAACTCCTCTGAAATGGGTAATTTACCAGAGATGCTTGAGAGGAATGACGTTTTTGGCACTGCTGGCATTTTTCATCTGCCCTTTGGATTTCCATCTTTTTTCTCCAAATAAAGGTGTACACTGATGAGCCCTGGCAGCAGCTCATGTTGCACACAAACTGCATCTGAAATCATAAAATCATGGAATGGTTGGTGTTGGAAGGGACCTTAAAGCCCATCCAGTCCCGTGGGCAGGACACCTCCCACTGTCCCAGGCTGCTCCAACCCCAGTGTCCAGCCTGGCCTGGGCACTGCCAGGGATGCAGGGGCAGCCCCAGCTGCTCTGGGCACCTGTGCCAGGGCCATGCAAGTCAAACAAGTGCACATTTTTAAATATTATATGCTATATGATAGTGAAGCATATTTCTGTGCACATCTAAGCCTGAAAAATGCAATCCCATCACTGACTGGCTGCCTTTGGGTGTCTGTGCCCCATCCATGGAGGTTTCATATCACGTAGCGTGTAGATGGTGGTATGGCAAGAAGAACTGTCTCCTCACCTTTTGCACTTCTCAGGGAATGGTTCCTGCTGTCTCTCCTGGTGTTTAATGATAGGCATTTCCAAGTCATAGTATCACAGAATCATTTAGGTTGGAAAAGCCCTCTGGGATCAGCAAGTTCAAGCACTGCCCCCACTGTCCCATGTCCCCAAGGGCCACATCCACAGGGCTGTGAAATTCCCCCAGGAATGGGGACTCCAGCCCTGCCCTGGCCGGTTTCAAGACCTGACCCCCTTCCCATGAAGGAATTTCACCCCTGTCCATGCTGAGGCTCCCCTGAGGCCATTCCCTCTCCTCCTGTCCCTGTCCCCTCCTGGCAGGGTGCAGTCCTGGGTGACTCTCTGCAGTCCTGGGCAGATTGTGTCTTGGAGAGAAAGCCCTGTGTGAGCATCCAGAGCCCGTGGTTACTGGGAATGCTGCAGCTGAGCACAGAAGTCACCTGCTGTGATTGATCTTCCTTCCATGGAAACTTTCCTGTAACCTGTCTTTCAGTACATGCTGGAAGGTGGAGAGGCTTTGGAGATGTTTTCTGTGACCCATCAGTGCAGTCCTTGAGGAAGGAAGCTTCCACTGGGGCTCAGATTTTAATCCTAGCTTGTGTGCCTTGAAGTTGCTCATTAGGTACTCAGTGTGGTAAAATCATATCTGTCAGTACAGTTGGTTGTTATTGTAATTATTATAATAATGATTATTATTATTCCTACTACTCTTTTTTATTATATCCGCTTCCCTGCATTTTCCCCAGAAATTGATATATTCATTCATCCTTTTCCCCTCCTCCTTTGATGAAGAAAACCAATACAAATTTGGGGAAATCAAGAAATGCCTGTAGCTCTACAACAGCCTGCCTTCTCTACACTGTATCTTATTTTTGTAATTTGGAAAGGAAATAATAATCAATTTTCTCTACTTCTCTCAAGGCTTTTCTTCTTGGGGGTTATCCTCTCACTTAAAATATCACCAGAGATAGGCAATAGTGGCTTTTTAAATCTGATTAAATCTTTCAGCCTTGCTGTCATTTAAGGAAGTCAGATAAGGAACTTTGAATCAACAATATAAATAATGAAAATAAGTGTGTCATTCCTCACTGGGTATCAGAAGCACTGAACTGTGCTGGATTATCTTTCTTCAGTGTATCTCTAATATGTGAACTTTTCATTTAACTTTGCATTTCCTAGAGTTTTTCAGCTGCCAGTGTGTTACGAACAAGAGCAATAAATATTATTTTCTATTTTTTTTTTCCTTTCCTTTCCAGTTGTTTCCTGTCATTGCTCCTGGTGGCAGCTGTGGTTTGGAAGATTAAACAAAGTTGCTGGGCATCACGACGGAGAGAGGTGAGAGGGATAAAGTGTTGTTCCTTAAATGACTTTTTAGTAGTTGTTCTCTCTAGATGCATATTTATTCACATATGCATCACATTAACCTTAAATTGAAGGCTGAGCTAATTCAGTTAATGCTGCTATTTAGGCCTTTAGCATATTTTTGATTACAGTTTCAGTGACAAATTATGTTATTTTAGTATCCTGATGCTGCAGTTTCTGTGAAGCACCAAAAAAATAGGGGTGAATATCCTGAATTCCTAGAACTTCTGTTTCTAGACAGCATAAGTACCAAACCACATAAACTAGGAGATTCTTTATATCTGTTTCAAAATAGGAAATCGAAAATAGAAACATTAGCTCTTGTGTAATACATTAAAAAAATAAGTCAAAACCCATTTTCAAATTAAATCTTATTCAGATATTTTGGGTGGTTGGTTTTTTTCCCCCTGGAACATTAGGGGCATAAGAAAAAGGTGGGGATGCCACCAGTAGCTTACTCCTTAAAAATGTGAATTTTAGAGCCAAAGTTTTTTCCTCTTCACCTACCCATGGTCCAAATGAGCTTCACAACATTTTGTGTTTGCATCATGTAAATAACTTAGTGCTTTACACCCCCAGAATCTGGTTCCTCCTTGTTTATCCCTGATTTATTTTTGTTCACTATGTTCCTTTCTTGCTTCTCAGTGGACCCTGCTCTCCTGTTCCACCCAAACACTCAGGGTGGCCCTGGTGAGGTGGCCAATTGCTGTGGCACAAGGGACGTGTCCTCAGTCCCCATTTCTCAGCACCAGTGCCCCCATACACCAGCTGTGTTTGTAGGGCAGTCCTGGGTGCCACAAGCAGCTGCCCACACACCCATCAGGTTTCCTTGGTGTGCTGGGAGCATGGAACCTGCAGCTATCACAGCTTGGGCCGCACCTGGAGTTATTTTTAGGAGCTCTGTCTTGTGTTAATCTGTTTATTTCTGTGCAAAATGGGAAAATCCAGCCATCATTCAAGTGAGTCCATGTGCACTTGCTGTATACAGTTATCTCTTTGTCATCACCTGAGGCCAGATTCCCTAAGGAATGGGGCGTGTTTCTCCCTTGCTTTGGGATTTTCAGGTGGGATCTGCCATTCCTGTAGGTTTTTCTCCCAGCTGTCTTGCTGGGCTGAAGCTCTTGGCAGCTGCAGACCCGCCTGTGTCACTGTTGTGTTCAAGAGTGGTTTGTTCCCATGTAGGGGTTGATCAAGAGGATTTGGGGGATTAATTTTTACGGTGTTGGAATTCTTTGCAAGTCCCTGTTTCCTGCATATCTTCAGAGATCTGTAGCTGGTTGTACTTTGCAGTGCAGTGGTGTAAATAATATGAATTTATTCCATATGAGGAGCTCCTCTCTGGTAATAAAGCAGGATGATGTCTGATAACTCTTCTCCTCTTCTTTCTCTTTCTGCTTCAGATGTTTCTGCTTTTACTGGTGAACTCAGTGCAGAATATAATCATTGCTTTTCAAACAGATAACCCTTAATCTTGGAAATAATGGAAGTCTTTGAGGTTTTCTGTATTCTCTGAAGGTAGATAAATTTTTACTAAGGCAGCTGTTTTTTTCCTGCTTGCTTTCTTGGCAAGAAACTAAGCTGGAGTCAGCATAACATCCCCTGTGGCTCCTGGGGTTAAATGTTATCTAGGAATATATAAGGAATAGAGACCAAGAAGTTAATACTGTGCTTTGGAGTTAAAGTATTTGAGTGGTGGCCTAAGTGAGAAATGTCTCTATAAATTAAGTTACAGTCTGATACTTGTTTTAAGGAAAAAATACAACCCTGGAGTACTGGCAACATATTGGCATGTTTCAGTCTAAATTCAATCTATGTGTGACTGTTTGACAGGCAGTTCATCAGGGTGGTGTTTCCCAGGCACATTCCTGTCTTTTGCTGTTATTTATCTTGCTCTCTCTTTTTATCTAGTGACTCTATCTTGTAATTAATGGATCTCTGCTGTTCCATTCATTTTGTGTTAAAAATACTTGTAAATCTTGAGGAAACAGTTTAAAATCTTTGTTGTGCCATAATTACATATATTAATACACTTTCTCCAGAAGCAAAAGTCCACCCTAGAATTTGTTATCTAAGATGATTTTATAGCTTGAAGGTGGAGGGTTTTTTTACTGATTCTCGATAAACCCAAGCAAAGGTCTCTTTAGTAGCTTTACATTATCATCAATGCCTCATCCCTGGCAGTGTCCCAGGCCAGGCTGGACAGGGCTTGGAGCACCCTGGGATAGGGGAAGGTGTGGAATTAGATCTCCAAGGTCCCTTCCAGCCCAAAGTGTTCCATGATTCTCCAAAATGCTGCAGCCCTGAAGGAAGATCTTTCTCTGCTTTGGGCTGTGTTTTTAGCAGTAGTCAAGTTACAATAAACTGTTTCTCATGTCTGTAGTGACTCTCTAGTAACTTCCCACGTGTGTGTTTGTGCTTGTTCTCTGATTTTAGCCCAGAGGTCAGTAAGGTGTGATGCAATGTGCAGGGAATTCCCAGCTGTCCATCCCTTCTGCTTCCAGCAGGAGCACTGCATGTGCCCAAATCCTTATGGCAGTGCTGAGTGAAAAGCTGATGGCTGAGGCTTATTCTGAGAAATGTGCAGGGCAGGAAAGGAGTGTGCTGACAGGTTTAGTGGTCAAAATTACACAGCCAGGCTTGCTTGGGAAGTGTGCTGGGAGAAGGCAGACAGCTGTGCTTGGTGTGGCTGGGGAATGGAATACAGCAGCATCCTTTGCTTGAAACCAAGTTTGCTTTGTGCCTTATGGAGAAGGCCGCATGCTACAAATCCAAAGTCTCCATCAGGATCTTGTAGAACACACAAGATTCTCCTGACTTTTCTTTTCTGTATTTCAGCTAAACCTCTCTGCCCAGCTGCTTGCAGGTGTCTGTCAGTGCTTCTCAGCCTCCAGGTCTGTGGGGTGGGCAGACACAGCCAATGTGGACTTGTAGAAAAAGTTAGGAACACTGAGCTGAAGTTCAGGCCTTGCAAAGAGTAAAACTTGACCAGCAGTAAAAATGGGAATGATTTGTGTCATATCAGGCATTCAGGAGATGGAACTATAAACTGTGTGTTCATTCCCCTGCCATTGAACCCTGTGTTTGAGTATCTTCAGACATCTTAAAAAAGGGAAAATAGAAATAAAAAGGCAGCTTTTATAGGAGGCTTAGAATGAGGTGAATGACATTAGGAAATAGGGATAGGACACCTCTCTGTCTTTTCTGTAGAAAATGACATGTTTAAGGAATCACAGTGGTAATAGAGAATAATGCACAAAGTATGAGCATAATGTTAGAATTTCAATATGCTCATCTGCTGTCAGGAATTTTCTGTGCTGTTGTTCTGTTTTTGCACCAAGTCCTCTTCACCCTCAGTCTCCCTTGTTTCCTTTGCTGGGAGCAAGGAATAGCTCCCTCCCAGCAAAGGGAGTGTGGCTGACCCAGGGAGGGGAGGGTCAGCTGGATCACTGCCTGTGCCTCTTTGGAATGTGGGGGGAGTATCAATAGCAAGCACCTACAGAGATGAGATAATTAAATTTGGGTGTTAGAGCTGCATTTCAAAACATTCCCTTAACAAAATGATCTGTATTTTGCCTCCTTTCTTGCCAAGAGTGTATAAGACTGAATATTTGTACTCTGCAAGTCACCCAATTATTCAGGAGGGGTTTTGTGTATTGATTTACTGCAGGAATTATCCTTCTCTGTCTCATTGCTGAAACCTTTTTCCCTCCCAAGTGTATTCAAAACTTAGTTGTGCTTCAGTTTCCACTGACATCCTCTGCTGTAGCATCCATGCACATAGAATGCCACGCAGGCAAGCAGATCCCTGTGTTTTGTACAGCAAAGATGTTGCAAGGGATCTGTGCTGTGTGTTATTTATTGCCCTGCCCTCCTTTTCTTCCCCTTCTTGCTCTCATCCCTTAGTATTTCATTCATCTCTTAGGTCTTCTCTCTTAGAATGTGATTAAGGGCATCCTTGGTCAAGGAAAAAGCTGTAGATTTGGAATATTTTCAATTAACTGTAATTTGGGATCTTTGTTGTTGTTTAGAGTCTTCAGTGGTGTTTTGGACCAGGATGTGCTCCCAAAGGATTTGGTTTAAACTTTTGCAGAAATATTAAAAGGTCTGGCAACAAATTTCTCTAGATTTGGGCAGTTCCAGATGCTTTGGAGGGTTTACTGGTGCATTCTCCAAGCTCCCAGCAGTTATTTGCCGCATAGATCTTGTTCCATAGCACTGACAGCACTGTTTGGTGTCTGTCAGCAAAAAGAAAATATTAAGTTTGGGTTTGGGGTGGTTTGTAGGGAAAACAAGAATTGGAGGAGTGAGAAATCACAGCCAGCAGGTGACTGAGGAGGTTGAGTCACGTGGTAAGCACGACAATTTCTCTCATTACAGTGGGAAACATGAACCTGGGTTTGTTTTATTTTTTATGCACTGAAGGTGGGTTTACTTCCCAGAATCGCTGTTCCCAGGACAATAGACTGAAGTGATGGTGACTGTGGTGTTTTAAAAGCTGAATGTAAATATAATTTCCTGCATGTATGAGTAATAAGAACTCAGTGTTACTATTAGGTGTAACCAGTTGTTGGAGTACTGTGTCCACACTACTCTTAGCAATGTTTTGGGTGTTGCAGATGGTGAACAACACTGCAATGTTAATTTGTTACCTGGAAGATAAGCAAGAATTTAAAGCTTCACAAATTCCTCATTTTCTCCAAGGAAAAACATACTGAGCTTTGGTGATGCAAATCAGTGGCTGTGAAAAGGAATCATATGGAGAATGGATTTGTAGAGAATTTTTGAAGTTTGATAGAAGGTTTATATAGAATCATAGAAGATTCATGATGGGATGAAGATCTTCTAAATGATCAGCCAAAAGTTTAAACAGTATGTCCCTGCCCATGGCAGAGGATTGGAGCTAGATGAGCTTTAGGTCCTTTCCAAACCAAACCAGTCTGTAACACCCCATGTCTGCAACTGGGGGTAAAAAA